TTCTGGCCCGTTGGGCCGGCGAATTTTGCGGTTCCTCTTCCCGAGCTCAGAGAGGCTTGGGGGGCGGGTTTCCGTGGGGAGTCGGGCCTCTGGAAAAACGTTTCGGGCCCCGTCTCTGCTTTGCTGAAATCGTGCGAGAGAATTCCTTGGTCCATGGATTCCTTTGCTGCCATTGCGACAGACCAAGGTGATAATATTGTGCTGGCATCAGTGTCGCCTCAGCTATTCAAAACGCTTTTGAAGAAGGCTGTGATCAGGGGTTTGGAGTGGGACCTGGGGGCCAAACTTGGTTTGCCTGGGAGGGCTTGCGTCGATGGGATCTTGCGTTGGCCCCAGAGCTCTCGACTCACTCCCTCCCAAGAGGGTTGTGTGAAGGCCTTGTTTTGTAACGCCATTTACATTGAGCAGCGCGCAGCTGACCTAGGTTATGCCCTCTCCTGCGTGCTGCGCCCGCTGTGCTTCGACGCCGCAGGCACACTTAGGCATCGATTGTGGCAGTGCACGGCTGTGGAGGCCGAGAGGGAGGACTTGGTGAAGGTCAAGGTTAGGAGGTGGGCGGAGGAGGCGGACGACGCCCTCGCGTGCTCCGGCGTCTTTTTGCACCCATCGGAGCATTTCCCTCGGCCGTTGCAGTCGGGAGGTATTGATATTGAGTGGGTCAACAAGCCGAGTGTCGACGCCACCCTTGACGATGTGTTCTCAGGAGATATTTTCACGGACGGTTCTTGCAGTAAGAATATTGTTCCCGAGTTGGACAGAGCGGGTTGGGCCTTCTCCCTCTGGCAGCGCGACGCGGGTCTAAAGATCGTGCGTGTCCGTCGGCCTGTTTGGCCACCCAGCCCGCAGACTTCGCAGGCGACAGAGTTTCACGCGCATTCCATAGCGATGCAATGGCCGACTGGTCCGTGCGAGTTGTTTGTGGATTGCAAGGCCTGCGTAGATTTCCATGGTCTGCCTTGGGCCGAGCAGTGCCCCCCCAAACGTTCGCACGCTGGGGTTGCCCAGTTTTGCAGAGCGTTCTCCCAGCAGTGCAGCGCGCACAAAGTCAAGGCTCATCTCGATGTGGACGGGGCCGAAGATAGCTGGGGGCGCTATCTGCGCGAAGGTAACCACGCTGTTGATATTTCGGCCAAGAGGGCCTTGTTTTTGCATCCCCAGCCTGACGGGGAGCAGGTGGAAGATTTGGAGCGTTCTTTAGCTGTGGCAAGAGCTGTGGGGCTCCTAGCTGCTAGGTTGATGCCACTCTGGCCTTGCCTTGACTTCGGCCCGGGTGTGGAGCGGACCCCCGTGCCAGCTCAGCGGAGCGAAGGGCTGGGTCCGAGACATGCTTGGGCCTGGACTGGCAGGTTCTGGCAGTGTGCTCGTTGTTTTCGTGGTTCGCGGTCGACTGATGAGCCAACCGCGGGGCTTTGCAAAGGAGGCCCAGGTGTCGGGATTCGCGGCATGGGTGCTCCAGCTTTCGCGAGTTTGGGGCACAGAGTGCTGTTTTTTCGACGCCAGCGACAACAGTTTTGTTTTCATCTGTCTTCGGTGCAAGAACTACACTGGCGGTGGCCAAGTGCGGGGATTGCGCCAGCAGTGTTCGCCTCTCCCCTCTTTCGGGGCGCAGGGGCGAAGATGCGCTTGGAAGATGACTTGTGCGGGGTCCCACCCAAAGAGGAGCGGAGTCACGGTTTCCGTGGGGCCCTGGCGCAAGGAGGAGGAGGAGGAGGTCCCCGCTCCCTCCGTCGAGCCCCCCCCCCTTTCGGCCTCGGAGGTGGAGGGTGCACGTGAGCTGCGCAGGGCAGCCGTGGCCCAGCGCCTGCTCGCGGCCGCGAGCTCGAGCGGGCTGCGATCGAGCTCAATTTGATCGTGCTCGTTGCCGATGCGGTGCCAGCCAGGATACCTCTGGTTGGTTTCTGACATTGGCCGGCCAATGCGCACGAGTACGTCTGTGTGTTTGCCTCGAGGTTCTCGCCCCGCCCCGAGGTCACATGTGGGCTGCTGTTTGCGCTGCTGCAAAAAGCCCCTCTTCCTCCTCCTCCGCCTCCTCCTCCTCCGCCCCCTCTTCCGCCTCCGCCTCATCGTCGTCCTCCCGTTCAGCAGCTGCTCTTGCGAACGCGCGGCGGGCCATGGAGAGCGAGCAGCGCGCGGGGTGCGTCGAGGAGTCTGCCTGTCCAGGGGGGGATCTGCCAGTCCCTGCCCCGAATCTACCCGACGACTCCTTTTCACGCGACCATGGGGAAGAGGCTGCAAGCTTGGCTGGCTGAGGATGGCGAGCCTGTGCCCTGCGACGTGAAGGACCGATGGCAGCAGCTCCGCGCCGTGAGTTCGCTGGGGGTTGTGAAAACGCTTGCGGGGGCATGGCCCACGAGTTGCCGCATGGACGCGCTGGACGCGCGCGCCTCACACGTGGATTCGAGTGCCAGGTCGAGGAAGATATGGACCATCATCTACGATGCCCGCCGTCGATGGTTTCCTCTTGTGTGGTTGCTTGTTCGATCTGGGCATGAGCACCTGGTGAACAAGTTGACGACGATGAACCTCGTCGTGCTGCGTTTCGGCTGGCCTTTCCCTCCTGCTCCTCCTCGTCACCCTCCTCTTCCTTTTCCTTGTTTCCTCATCCTCATCCTCGTCCTCGTCCTCCTCCTCGTCCTTGTCCTGATCCTCGCCGATGGTGTCGACGTCGTCGTCGCACAGGTTTTGTCGTTTACGCTTCTGGAGGTTACCGTTGCCACGGCTGCACGCAGCTGGAAATGCCGGCCAGGCTGGACCCGCGGAGTCGTTTCGGGTACGTTATTGAACAGACTGCTGTCCTTCTCCTCCGTCACGTCCTCGTCCACATTGTTGTTGTTGTTGTTGCTCCTCCTTGCTCTTCGCTTCTGATCATTTCTCCTTGCGTCTCCTCCTAATTCTCCTGCTGCTGCTGTTGCTGCGGCTCCTCCTCCTTTTCGTCCTCCTCCTCCTCCTCCTCGTCCTCCTCCTCCTCTTCCTCCTCTTCCTCTCCCTGCCCTTTCCCCTCCTCCTCCTCCTCCTCCTCCTCCTCGTCCTCTTCATCCTCCTCATATCCCTGCCCTTCCCCCTCCTCCTCCTCCTCGTCCTCCTTCTCCTCATTCTTCTCCTCCTCCTCCTCCTTCTCGTCCTCCTTTTTCCTCCTCCTCTCTCATTCTCCCCCTCCTCCCCCTCCTCATCCTCCTCCTGTTCTTCCTCCTCTTTCTCCTCCTGCTCCTCCTCCTCCTCCTCTTCTTCCTCCTCCTCCTCCTCCTCCCCTTCCTCGCCCTCGAGGCATGGTTTCGGAGGTGGTTGAATGTCTTGCGAGTGTCGTTTGGCCTTCTTGGGCTTCTGGAGACCTGCGGATATATCAGGCAGCACGCAGAGACCGTTTGAATTCTCCAGGGGCCTCCTCCTCCTCCTCTTCCTTCCTCACTTCCCCTTTCTGCCTTCCCCTCCCTTCCTCCACCCCCCCTCCTCGCCCTCCCCCTTCCCCCTCCTCTTGCCAGTTGTCGTCGCCGCCGCTGTCGTTGTCCTGCTAGTGCCCGTCCCCCCAATACCAGAATACTTCTTGCTCCGATGGGGCAGGGGCGTCGGTTCAAGCTAAGGCTCTGGCCTGCTGCTTGTGCCACGCCGTCATTCGGGCGTTCCAGAAACTACGTCGCATTCGAGGGATCGAGGAGTTGGTATCTTTTCTCGGCGGAAGCTGGCGCAAGGCCGAAGGAAGTACAGGAGGGGCGACTCTGCCGGTGGAAGGCCAGTGGAAGCCTCGGAAATGAAATGTCGCCCTCCCAAAGAGATGACATTCTTGGGGTTCAGCTTCTTTGCGGAGGCGGATCTAAATCCTCCACCCGCTGCTTGCGCCACGCCGTTACTTGGACGGAGGCCCAGAGCTCAACATTTTACGATCAGTCCAGATGATGCCAGCTCGTGGACCGCAGACTGTTAACTCATGCAGCAAGTGTGGGATCCCACGTGCGTGTAACCCCGTGTTTGCCGAGCCTCTATCCGTGTGGAGCGCCGTGTGTATGTTTCTGTGTGTGCGCGCGTGTGTGTGTGTGTGTGTGTGTGTGTGTGTGTGTGTCTGTGTGTGTGTGTCTGTGTGTGCGCGTGCGTGCGTGCGTGCGTGCGTGCGTGCGTGCGTGTGTGTGTGTGTGCGCGCGTGCGTGCGTGCGCGTGTGTATGTGTGTGCGTGTGGAAGTCCATGTGTATGGAACCCTGTGTGTATGTGTGCGAAGCCCACAAGCGTAGAACCCTATATGGCTATGGAGCCCCATGCGCTTGAAGTCCACAGGGGCGGTTGGGGGGCAAGCTGCGGTGACACATAGAACGTCAGGCCATGGGGATCCAAGCAGCCAATGGACCACGTCCAGCAGACGAGGCCAGTGGGGCGGCAAGCCATGGGGAGCTGTAGGAAGTCAAGCGTCAGGGATCCAAGCAGCCATCCGGCGAAGAGCGACACGCAAGGCCAGTGGAGCGGGACGCCAGAGTCATATGCAGTGGGGGCCCATGCCAAGAAACACCCCGCTTGCCTCCAGGGTGCCCTGAGCCTCTTGGGTTTCGATGGTTTTGCTGTGGAAAGCGCGACGCTCCCACACCAAAAATCAATGGAAATCCTGGGATCTTAGGGTTTGGTTTCTTGTGGAAGGTTTCTTGTCGACGGGCCTCCACTGTACAGAAAGCCAAGCCGTTGAGGTCCAGGCAGCCGACGGAACAAATGTGTTGCACAGGGCCAGTTCTGAAGAGCGCACGTAAGGACCTCACCATTTCGAGGCATCAGCGAGCATACCTGTCGGGAAGCCCTTAACAACAGGATGTGGCGAGAAGGAGGCATGCAATAAAGACACTGTGTTATCTGACGCCATTGGTAGTTCGGACGGAAGATGAGTTTTCTTCAGCATGGGTCGTGGAGACCCTCTGGACTCGCACAATCCGTATTTGCACGTCTGTGCAAGCACTTGGGAGTCGAGACTCTGAGAGCTCACCTGTGTAATGATCCGCGTCACGGCCTGCACAGAAACACCTGCCAACGCAAAAGCTATGTTGTGATTGTGTGTGATTGCGGGCTCGCACTTCGATGTGGGGGGCATCGATGCGCCCGTCTCCTCCTCCTCCTCCTCCTCATCCTCTTCCGCCTCCTCCACGTAGCCGTTCTGGTTCAAGAAGCATGGTTTCCTCATACTGCGAACCTTCATATTATCGAAAAGGCCTGCGGCGAGTTACCGCCGCCCCCAGTGGCAGGGAAGCGGGGCCACATTGGAGCCCGATGAGGCATCTTGGCGCCTTTCGGGGCCTCGCGTGCTGGTCTGAGGGCCCCTTTGGCATTCTTGGCGACCTCCCTGTCTTTGGAGCCTTTGGACTGTCCTCGGGTCCTTTCGGGGTACCCTTGTGCCGTCTTGGGTCTTGGGGCTCTCTTGTGCCGTCTTGGGGCCCTCGCTACTTGATCGAGCAAGGGCCAGGACACGCGTGCCATTTGTTTTTCGCGATATCGGCCAATACTGGCCCCCGCCCCCCCTCCCCAGGTAACGGTGCCGGCGCGAAACGCGACGTTGCCACCCCCTTCCCCCGTTGGGACAGTCGACACCGATGGTAAGGATGGGTAACCTTCCCAAAGGTACCCTTGCTTCCGTGCATTTTTGGTCCATCCTTGATGACCCGCCGCGCTCGGAAAGCTTCAACATGGGTGTCCAATGGGCTTGCATCCTTATCGCGACTCCTGACTATCAGTTTCGACTGTAACGCCCTTTACGGTGGGGGCGTTCGTTAAGGAATGTGCCAGGGCGGCTGCAGATCCTGGAGGGCTCCTTATCCGATGAGGGCGGCGGTGGTATCCATGGCCGATCCATTATTGGAGTTGCATCAGCTTCCAGACCCTGGATTCCTTATCTGAGGGTTCCTTGTCCAATGCCCCCACCGACTGGGGTCCTTTCAGCTCGCGGCTCTTCGCTCGTAGAGTGGTCTTCGGGGACTTGATGGTGATAGTGGTCAGCGCCTACCTGGAGCACTCCGCCAAGATGACGGGCACTAACGTGGAGCTGCTGAGCGAGCTGCAGGTGTTCCTCAACTCCCAATGCGAGCCGTTTGTCGTGGCAGCGGACTGGAACATGGAGCCGCAGCTGTTGGAGAACTCCTGGTGGCCGCGATCTGTGGGTGGTGCCGTTGTGGCGCCCAAGTTTCCCACCTGCTCGGTGACCTCGGGGAACGATCGAGTATACGACTACTTCGTGATTTCGGCCTCCCTTGCGGCTCTGAGCCCGACGGCAGAAGTGCTTCGGCCAACGACCACACAGCCCCACGCTCCAGTGCGACTTACCTTCAGCAAGCTGGGGGCTCAAGCCAAGGTCTGGGTCTTGCGAGGTCCCAAGAGATTCGACCTGTCGACGGACATCTCGGAGGAGGACCAGCAGAAGGCGGCGGAAGCCGCCCAGGACATCGTCTGGCAGGCGCCCCTGCCCACCCCAGGCGCGAGGCCTGATGAGGCGGTGCGCGAGTTCTTCGACAAGGCGGAGGACCACCTGATTGCCATGCTGGGGGTCACTGACGGCCCCAAGTACCGTGGCAGAGCGGACGGGCTCAAGCGAGTAGAGATCAGCCTCAAGGACCTCCAGCGCACGGAGACCTCCAGAAAGGTAAGCCCGTTGACGAGGCTGTGGCTCTCACTCGGCAGGCTAGTCAAGCGACTCAGGGCAGCGGCGTCGGTCCCAGCGCCAGCCAAAGGCCATGCGCTGTACATGAAGCACCTGGAGCAGGCGATCGTCTCCCTGGCAGCGCAGTTCGACGGCTTGGGCAACTCGATGTTCAACGGCACCAAGATGGACACGATAGTCCACGAGGTCAGGCGCGGCTCCTTCGACGGGCTGCAGATGATGAAGGCCATCGCCAGAGTCACAGACAAGCACGTCAAGGCCGATGCGACTGCAGCCAGGACCCGCTGGAAGGAGTTCGTGGACGAGTCGCTGGCTGGTGGAGGCCGTGGAGCTCATGCTATTAGCAAGAAGCTCCACGGCGAGGCGAAGCCGATCTTGGCGGACGGCAGCGGCGACTCGCCTCCGGTACCACTGGTGGGCCAAGCGGCCTTGGATCAGATGCTGGTGGAGTGGAAGGCCCTGTGGAGCAGCGGGGACGGACAGCAGACTAGGCCTGCAGACTGGCTTACCACGTTGGACCTGCCCCCGATCACGGCTGAGGAGGTGCTGGCGTCGGCAAAGACGTTCGCGAAGAAGACGGCGCTCGGATGGGATGGCTTCCACCCCAGGCTGCTGACGATGCTGGGTAGGCCGTTTGCGCAGCGCATGGCTGACGTGCTGACGCAATGGGAAAGGCACCCGCAGCCGACGGCGATGTTCACCACGCTCATCGTCTTCCTGGGCAAGCCTGGGGGCGGACATCGCCCCATCGGCTTGATGTGCTTTTGGCTCCGTGTTTGGGGCAGGATTCGCAGGCAGTACTGTGTACAATGGGAGCGCGACCACCACCTTCCTGAGATATGGGGCAGCAGCTCTGACACCAGCTGCGATAGAGCAGCGTACTTGCACAACTTGTACCTAGGCCTCGCTCGGAAGGTCGGCTTTGACGGAGTCTCGGTATACTTTGACATAAGCAAGTTCTACGAGCGGATCGATCACTGGCTGCTGCTGAAGGCGGCCGAGCTAAATGGATTCTGCACAGGCTTGGTGCGTGCGCTCTGCGTGGCCTACTCGGGACCGAGGAGAGCGACTGCCGACAGCGCCGTCAGCGAGGAGATCCATGCGAGTGGCACGGTCATCGCAGGCTGCTCGTGCGCGACAACGATGGCCAGGCTCATGCTGATGGACCTTCTGGTCAAGAGCCGCGCGAAGCTCCCCGTCGGTCGGATCGTCAACATGATCGACGACATCTCGGGCAATGGAATCGGATCCAGAGGCGTGCTGGTCAGTCAGGTTAACAGCTTCGTCCTGGGCGTCGTGACGATGCTGAGGGACAAGCGGCTCCCGATCAACTGGGGCAAGACGAAAGTGCTGGCCTCCTCAGTGGACCTCCAGCGCGAGCTGATGAAGCAGGAGGGGTGGCCGCTGGACAAGGCCGCCTTTGCACAGGGACACCGAGACCTCGGTGGTGACGCGACGGCTGGTGGACACCGCATGGTGGCGACGCAGGTCAAGCGAGAGCTCGATGCACTCCGTCAAGCAGCACGGCTGGCACGCATCTTCGGACCCGGCCTTCGGCAAGCTCGAGCGATGCGAGCTGGGCCGACGGCCAAGGCGCTCTGGGGCTCGGCCATTGCTGGAGTCCCACCTGGGCGCATGAGGGCGCTGAGGGTGGCCGCTGCGAAGTGCGCTGGTCGCTTGCCGCCTGGGGCGGCCCTCAGCTTCGCCCTGCAGTGCGCGCCCCGCGGCTGGCGGCAGGACCCGCTGGCTGTTGCAGCGGGCATGGCAGTTCAGGCGTTCGTCAACGCGGTGTGGTCTGGACAAGCCACTGCATCAGCCATCCAAGCGTGCATCCAAGAGAGCCAGCAGGTGCTCAGCAAGCAGCGGCCTTGGAGTTCGGTCCGTCAGCCGATAGCGGCGCTCACGCTCACCCTGCAGAGGATAGGCTGGCAGCTCTCCTTCGACGGCACCAAGCTGCTGGACGAGGACAAGGGGGAGTTCGAGGTGCTGCACTTCTCGCCCGCGTTCCTGGCGGAGAAGGCCAGGGAGGCCACGAGGAAAGCGGCTGCGCTTGAGGAGGCTCGAGCTCGTCCTGCATCGCTCTGGCCATGGAAGCTGCCGCCACAGTGGAGGCCAGTCAACGAGCTGCTCGGCAAGAAGGAGACGGAGACCTGGACTGGGCACCACAAGGGCTGTCTGCGCTGGCTCGTCTTGCTCTCGCACTGGCCCCAGGACCGTCTCGCGAGGCACTCCTCTGACATCGACCCGATCTGCAAGCTCTGCCAAGCTGCACGGGGCACGATGCTCCACAGGCACCACGTCTGCCCAGCTTGGGAACCTTGGCGGCGTGACAGGCTGCCGTCTGACCTGAAGCGTGCTGCTTGGTTGGTCCACGAGATGGGCCCGCCGTTCGATGAGCTGTTCTGCCAGGGCCTGTTCGTGGACCCCTCCCTGCTGTTGCATCGTCCGCGCTGGCAGCCCCAATGGGAGCGGCTCTCTCATGGTTGGCATGAAGCAGTTGTGGTCGAAGACGGTGCCATGGTATTCACCGACGGCTCCTGCATCCTCGGTGACTTTCCGCGCCTGCGCAGCGCGGGCTGGTCGGTCGTCGCGATGTCCAAGGACGGTGCGATCCTAGCCGAGGCGTGGGGGGCGGTCCCTCCCAGGCTATGTCCATCGCAGACGGCACGTGCTGGGGAAGACTACGCGGCGGCGGTGGCGCTCACTGAGGTCATTGGAAATTACCAGCTGCTGATCGACTGCCAGGGCACGGCGGACTCGGCGCTCAACCTTGGCAGAGCTCAGGGCCCCACTTCGACCTACGCCCACCTCTGGGCCAGAGTTGGGGATGCCGCTGAAGGTGTTAAGGTCAAGCACATTCCTGCACATCGGTCAGAAGCGGCAGTGGCCAGAGGAGAGCTGACGGCTATCGAGCTGTTCGGCAACCGCCTAGCAGACAAGCGAGCGAAGGAGGGAGCCGCCCTCCACGCTCCCTCAGCCGACGACGTCCAGCTCCTGGAAGGCTGCCTGGCCAGGGCACGTGACGCAGCTCGCTTTGCCGCAGAGATCGAGGTCTACATCTCGGACTCTGGTATGCGCGACTGCTGGCCGACGGAAGCCCTGGACGACGTCAACCTCCAGCCGTGCCTCTACCCGTGGAACCTGACGTGCGAGGACGAGGGTTACGGCTTGTTGGACGCCTCCACAGCGCAGCGTGGCAGAGGCTCGGCGGCTGTGACAGCGGCAGCCTTCGCCGCGGCGGCAGTGGTCAGCGCAGCGGCAACAGGTGCCGCTGCAGGCGCCGCGGGCGGCGCGGCTGGACCAGTCCGCAAGCGCCCAGCGGCTGCGCAGAGGGCCGGCTCCGCCCCAGCCGCCCCCATCGCTGCGGTGGCAGGCGAGGCTGGCACTCCACGCGCTGAGGAAGCGAGCGAGGTGTTTGCGAGAGAGGTTCGGCGCAGAGCGGAGGCCAAGTCGTCCGCAGCGTCCTCTCAGCGCGTCCAGCTGGAGGAGGTGCGCCCTTCTCCTGCTCCCGCGGCTGGAACCGAGCCATGGGTAGCGCACGGCCACAACCTGATGCAGAC